CAAATAACAATTAAACACCTGTTGCTTGAATAACATATGGGTCGACCTCTCCTCTTTTTTGCTACCCCTTTTTCTAACATCTTCATCGAAATTTAGGTTTCCTTCCCGTTCTCGCGACTCCTCCCACGCACTCTTCCTCCCCTCCTCCTGCGAAGATCCGGTAATAATTCTACGCGCGTTCCCACAATTTACTAGGATATAATTTTTTGCTCGATGTTTTGACATCTGGGATTTTTGTTAATGAAGGCTTTTAAAAGAAATCAGATTGTAAAAAAATTTAATAAACAATCCATTGAATAATAAATAAATCATAAATAATTAATAAATAATAAATTTAATAAATCACAAAATTCAATCAGTTTATACGAGTGATATTTTATAGCTCGAATAATTTGTCCATTGAATATAAAATATTTCTCTTGCAGAATGTATCGCGTTCTCATCGTTCGACGCGCGTAATTTCTCGAAAAAAAAAGTAGAACAGACAAGAAACACGCATGTGAATATTTTTTAACTACAACCCCCTTTTAAATCACGCGGAGTGCACTCAAGGAAGACACCGCGTAATCGGCGGGAATGGACGGGGCATAAAATCTGAATAACATAAAAGTGGCGAACGGAGACGATGAAATTCGCCTGCAAAAATTGCGGCGAGATATACGACGCCGTTACCGAGATTGGAACTAATTACCACCCAGGAGTCGACGTCCGCGCGTATCCCGCACGATGATAGTGAATCAGCTGACCTCCTATCGGCGACCATAGAACCCGACCTCGGCGTCGACCTCGCCGATTTATTCGCTCGTAACGAGATAAAAAGAGAGGAAAATGGCGACGAGGGGCCCCTTGCGAGGAAGGAGGAAGGAGGGAGATGGGCAATACTCTCGCATGCGGCCCAAGGCAATATTCATAGCCGATGCCATTCGTCTACCCCTCATCATCGTCGTCGTCATCATTGTCGTGCGTCGTCGTTATTTATCGACGACAACGCGACGCTTCTCGCGATGTCCGATCGCGAAGCCATCGGCAGATGCGTCACTCATGCCGCCTCATCGATTATCCGCAAATCGAATCTCGCTTCTTTTCATATTCTTTTTTTTTATCCATCTCTCTCTCTCTCTCTCTCTTTCTGTCTACCTTTTTCTCTCTCTTTCGGGCAACGTTCGAGAGAAACGCTCGACGGATCGGCGATTAAGGATAATCGCGCGCCGAGTGCCATTCGATTTGTTCGAACGCGCGTCGCGAGTGCCGTGAATTCGCGAGATACCAATCACGTATATTTATCGTTGAATAAAACCGACAATTCTCCTCAATCGTGCGCGTCGAGCTCTTGTGCCTTTTATTTAATTATGCATGAAGCGAACATTCGCAGCTTTCAAATATACAGAGTATTTTATGGACTGAGAGCTTTCGATTTCGAATATTTTATTATTGTCCAATTAATTGCGAAGCAAATATTTAAATAGGAGCGATATGTAAAGCAAGATATATATATATATATATATATATATATATACAGGGTGTTTCTAAAACTATGTCGGAGATTTTAAGGGCGTATAAAGTTGTTAAAATGGTTAAAATAAGAAAGTTGTTAAAGAAGGAAAAGTTGTTAAAGTGGTTAAAATAAGAAAAAGTTCATATAAAAATGGTTCATATAAACATTCATATAAACAAGTTCATACAACACAAAAAAATTGTCAAAACCACATAAAAATGAAGCTCATTATTAATTATTACGCTGTGCAAAACTTTAACGTTCTATGAAAAAGTCTCCGAGAGTTACAATACATTTTTCGATTTTTTTCCTCAACTTTAGGGGGCTATAACTCGGAGGAAAAGCATTTTTAGACTCATGTTTACATGAGCTCTTTTTCTTATTTTAAACCCTAGAATACGCCCTTAAAATCTCCACATAGTTTTAGAAACACCTTGTATATATGGGGAAAGGTTCATATTTTAAGGGCGTGTTGCTGATACCTTTTAGAGTAAAAAAAGTCTAATAAACATATGTCCGCAAATGTTTCCTAACAGAAATACAAGCATTGAAAGTTGATATGAATATGTGAAACATTTTCTATTAATTTGTTATTGTTTACATTTTTATGAAAAACTGAACTTATTAACAGAACAGGGATGAACTTATTAACAGAATTAGGGATGCGGCAATACAAATCAGAAATTCTCCTGGAATGGTGGAGCAAGCTGTTAGATCACTTTTACGCAGGGCAAGGCTTTGTATTGAATCTGCAGGATGTCATTTTGAACAGAATTTGTAAATGAACAAATTAAATTAAATGTCTTTCTTTTCTTTTCTAAATGCTTTTTTTAATATTCAACTTTCAATACTTGTATTTCTGTTAGGAAGCATTTGCGGACATATGTTTATTAGACTTTTTTTACTCTAAATGTAGCAGCAATACGCCTTTAAAGTATGGACCTTCAGTTATGGGACACCCTGTATACAGAGTGTCCCAGACCACCCCTTTTAAAATTAAAATAAATGGCTTTTATCAAAAATCGCGAACAATTTTTAAGTAAATCGAGAACGCTCTATCAAATGGTGATATTTTCAATTTTTAATTCCGACCGGAAATACGTCATCCGGATCGGAAGTTGAATTTTTTTAGGGGAACACGGTACATTTTATTACAGATTCGAATTGTACGTGAAAAAATAAGAAACTTTTGTATCAAACGTTTTTTATAAAAGTGCCTCTGTCCATCTTAAAATTGACCTTGAGAGTAACTGTGATAAAATAATGAACTTTCAATTTTAAGATTGATAGAGGCACTTTGAGAAAAAATATTTGATATAAAAGTTTCTTATTGTTTTACGTACAATTCGAATCTGTAATAAAAAGTACCATGTTTCCCTAAAAAAATTCAACTTCCGGATGGCGTATTTCCGGTCGGAATCAAAAGTTGAAAATATCACCACCTTGATAGAATGTACCCGATTTACTTAAAAATTGTTCGCGATTTTTGATAAAAGCCATTTATTTTCATTTTAAAAGAAGTGTACAGTGTGTGTGTATGTGCGTGTGTATTATACATATTATGTTTGTAACAATTGTATGATTGGCTTGCGACAATTAAACATAATAACATAATTGCTTCCGTATAAATAATTACTATAATAAAGGAAAATAAGACACCAATATCTGCGAAAAAAAAAATAGTAAATCAACTGCTCGAAAATATAATAATTGACGTCTCTTAAATAAAAAAAAAAGAAAATGTCAAACTTATATTAGCGACAATTTAATCATTTCGTTGCGATCGCATGCTGTAATTTTTTGCTCTTATTAACTAGTTTTTAATAAGAGCCTAGTAATAAATTACTAGAAATGCACTATGCAACAAATTTAATTTAAAGTCGAAATAATAACAAGAATTTCAAATCAAATTAATAACAATTGCCTCGGTACGTTTACGAATTGTGAATCATTGTTAATTAATTGAGCGATCGCACAGATAATCTGTAATTTATCACATTTGACATCTTCTAATATTTGTCACGGTTTTCGGAAAATAATACGACGTACGGAGCGTCTCGCGAAGTAATCGAAATGAAGGCCACGGTACGTAAACATTAACGCGCTAATGTTTACATGACGTGGTCTTGTCATCAGTCACGTCGCTAGATTCGAGCGGAAAGGTGACGATATGAGACGAAGCGCTCCGTGTCGTTAAATTATTTTACAAAATATCCCGATAAATATTAAGAAGCATTAAACATGATCAATTACAAGTAAATTTCAGATTATTAATCCATTAATGCTACCGATTTAACACGGAAAATATCGTATTATTTAACCGAATTAAATCGATTAATTATCGTCAATTAGTTCGCTATTCCCGACAATCATTTGTATGATAAAGCTACATGAAAGTTCAAACAAAGATTTTGTTTTGACAAAAGTTGAATATCTTATATTAAAAATATTTAACGTTATGTAAATGTGTGCATCAATTTTGAAAAGTCTCGGATAATGTAATAAATTTTAGAAGTGAATTTCGCACCGACGTATCTTCGTCGAAACGTACCTGTCACTTACGTTGGCACGTGACTTCCTCGTCTCTTACTGTCACATAATATCTCGATTATCTCTCGAGAAACCTGACATTCGCTATAATCCAACGAAACAAGCGGTGTACATGAAACTTTCTACGGGAAAATTTTCTCTTTAACCAAAAAATATGAGTCAATAAACAACTTTAGATCTACATTTTCGACAATTTAATGAAGTCATAAGTGTTGAAATGTGGGTGTTTGATAATTATGTTTCGTAATTGTTCTTTACCTGCTTCGCGCGCGTTTTGTGTCGCGATATAAGTGAGTGTGTAAAAAAAGAATGAATGAAAAGGATTCAACGACATGACTAAAGGCGATGGAACAGATTCGACGATGTGATTAAAGGCGATGGAACAGAATAACAATGAGAAAACATCGTTCATGTGAGTACATTTTTTTCATCTTTTATTCGTTTACATTGCGTTTATTATTGTTAATAAGTGCGTTGCATGTAAAATTATGTATAAGATCATTGAAGTCAGTAACGCGATAAATATTCTCTCTCTCTGATAAATATGTTCTTAATCTTCTGAGATATTTTTAAGAAACGTCGAAAATTTAGAAGCATGATAAAATCATACGAAGAATTGCGCAGTTTTTCTTCTTCAACAATTTATTTCAAATGTACTGTTCCTTTTTTTGGACTTACTCAACAGTAAAATATATAATATGGGATATAATCCGGATTATATTTATTAAAATACGTTAGAAACGCATTAAATATATACATACACACTATATTTATTTTAATATATAAAGAAAATTATTTTTAATAATAAAAAACGAAGAAATTTAATAACGAAAAATACGTTGTACAAATATATCAAAATTGTCAAAATTAAAAAGCTTTTATGGTTTATTTCGATTTTGTTAAAAATATGAATGGGATCGAATAAAATAAAAACAATAAATAGAGAAAGAATAAATATTTTGCAGAGTGCTAAGTTTTATTTTAAAATCATCGGGGTTCTTGAGTGTGCAAAGCAATCTGATAAAAATGTGTCAAAGTGCCGAGTGAAATCTAAACCATTTTTATCTATTTTATAATGGTAGACTTCAATATCCATATCTATCCAGAGACCTACGAAATATATACAAAATTAATAATAAATTAAATTAATATAAATCTGTTGTAATTCATTTTTAATAAACAAATTTTTTTAAATGTTAAACTTGTTTATATATCGATAATCACATATATTTATATACTCTGTATTCTATGTATACATATATACATGTAACGCATGTGTAAATATATGTATAATATGTAATAAATATATGTATGTATAATATGTTATAAATATATGTATAATATGTGTACATTGTGATTATACTTGATTTTATGCTATATATATTGTGATGTGTATATGGATATATTTTCTCTCATGACTTATATATAAAATACTAAATGTAACGTAATGTAAACTGTCAAATATTTCATACGATATTACAGTTACTCTTGAAGTAAAAATGTAATAAGAAGCTAGATATCAACTATATAATTTTATTGTTATTAATTATTTTGTTGATAATAATTAATTATTTAATAATTATTGAAGTAAAAGCGTATAATTTTCTTAAATAGAAAGTATATACATATAACAAATAAACTATTACGCGCGACTTATAAAATTCATAAACTTATAATTCACTAATGAATCGCATTACAGTTTAAGGAATGTTTACCTAAAGAGCATAAACTATTCATTGCATGATGATTCTTATGATTCTCATGATCATTATTTGCCTGCTCCTGCTCCTCCTCCTACATTAAATTTTGGGTGAACATTTACTTTAACTTACTCAACGATTTTAATCTTGACATATGTTGTCACTACTCTGAATGACTTTTAAAAAATTTTAATCATCGATCGTTATTTATTAAAAAGTTATAAACAAAAAAGTTTCACAAATTTCATGTAATTTTGGAACATGTATGTACATTTCACAAAATAAATCTCTACCTAATTCATTCGTCTATATGTATTACGTAAAACGTGTGAGCAAAAGAGGGGCTCTGTCCCTTTCTCTCCACCCCATCGAAAAAAAGTCTCATTTCGTACAATTTGAAAGTATGATGCAAAAGATTTGAATTATATAAAGTAATCCAAACCAAAAATTTTAGTTGTGAATCAGAAATAGTAAGGTTATATCTTAAGTTATAAGGCTTAAGTAAGATTATACCTTCTGAAAATGGAGCCTCTCATAAGCGGGATTAGAACACATTTTATCTACGCATGATCTTTGCAAAAAGCGAAATTTAATCTTGATTCTTGCTGAGAATGAACTTTGCTTCGTTTTGAAAAATACATGCGTGAACACAGTAGGTTCTCTTTTCCCTACAAGGAAGGTCAACTTCCGGAAGATATAATCTAACTCAAACTTAATTTTGATTTTACATAAAAAGTAATTTTGGGTTAGATTGGTCTTTTTCAGGATGGGGATGGAGCAAAAGGAATGAAGCCACTTCATTTACTACACATGAATGAATGAATTAGGTAGAAATACATTTTATGAACGTACATGATCAAAAATTACATGAAATTTATGAAACTTTTTTTGTTTATCATTTTTTAATAAACAACGAGCGAGAAATTTTTGGAGGTCACTCAGGATAGTGGCTTTGATAAGATATGTAAAGATCAAAGTCATCGCTGGTGGGAAAGTTGAAGTAAATATTTATCAAATTTCCCTCCTATTTTCCCTCCTGTTCCCCCCATAAAATCTGGATAAATATTTTAACTTACCTAATATGGCTTTGATCTTGACATATATTGTCTAAGTCACTACTCTGAGTGGCCCCCGGAAAATTTAATCGTTGTTTTTTATTAAACAGGAAGATTTCAAGAATTTCGTAATTTTCGGACATTATGTACATTTCATAAAATGAATCTTTTTTTATCATTTTTTTAATAAACAACAAGTGAAAATTATTTGGGAGTAATGGCTTTAATAACATATGGTAAGATTAAAATCATTGCTGGTAGGTTAAAGTAAATATTTACCAAAACCTGCATTGCCGTTTACGCCAAATCCTGGGGAAATATTTATTTTAACTTATATTAATATTTATTTTAACTTATCTAACGACTTTGATCTTGACATATATTGTCATTACCCTGAGTGATCCCCAAAAACTTTTAACCATTCTTTTTTTTTAAGTTATAATCAAAGTGTTTCACGTAATTTTCGAATCTTTTGTACATTTCACAAAATGAGTCTGTATCTGATTTATTCGTTTATGTGTACTAAGTAAAACGTATGAGTAGAAAAAGGGTTCCGTCCCTTTCTTTCCTTTCGAAAAAAAATTTTTGCTTTTGTACAATTTGAAAACACGGTGCAAAAAATTTTAATTATATAAAGTAACTCAAACCAAAAATAGGATTAAGTTATATTTTACGGAAGTGAAACCCTCTGTGAGGGCTTAAACCTATTGTGTTCACGCATGTTAGTTATGAGGCAAAGCTAAGTTCACTCTACATTTAATCTTGACTCTTGCTGAAAGTAAGCTTTGCTTCGTTTTGAAAAATACATGCGTGGATACAGTAGATTTTCTTTTCCTTATGGCAGAGGTCAACTTCCGGAAAATATAATCTAACCCAAACCTAATTCCGATTTTAAATAAACTGTAGCTTTGGGTTAGATTAGTTTTTGAGGAATGGGGGGTGCGTAGGAAGAGGAGCGAAGCCCACACGGTTCACTTACTACACATGAATGAATGAATCGGGTAGAAATTTATTTTATGAAACATATATGTCCGAAAATTACGTGAAATTCGTAAAACTTTTTTTATTTATAACTTTTTAATAAATAACGAGCGAAAATTGTTTGAGAGTCACTCAGAATAGTGGTTTTGACAATATATGCCAAAATCAAAGTCAATGCTAGTAGATAAGTTAAAATAAATATTTACCTAGTCCTGCTTGTCCTCCTGCTCCTGCTGACCCTCCTGCTGACCCTCCTCCTCCTGCCATCCTTTCTAATCCCCCATAATTTTGAGATAAATATTTATTTTAACTTATCTAATGGCTTTGATCTTGACATATATTGTTAAGATCACTACCCTGAGTAACCCACAGAAAATTTCGTTATTTATTACAAAGTTATAATAAACAGAAAGATTTCATGAATTTCATGTAATCTTCGTTCATTTTGTACATTTCACAAAATGAATCTGTACCTGATTCATTCGTTTATGTGTAGTAAGTGAAACGCGTGAGTAGAGAAAGGGTTCCGTGCCTTTCTTTCCCTTCGAAAAAAAGTTTCCGTTTTGTACAATTTGAAAGCACGGTGCAAAAAATTTTAATTATATAGAGTAACTAAAACCAAAAATAGGTTTAAGTTATATTTTACGGAAGTGAAACCCTCTGTGAGGAGGGCTTAAACCTATTGTGTTCACGCATGTTTGTTACAAGGCGAAGCTAAGTTCACTCTACATTATAATCTTGACATTTTAATCTTGACTCCCGCTGAAAGGGAACTTTCCTTCGTTTTGAAAAATACATGCGTGGACACAGTAGGTTCTCTTTTCCTTATGGCAGAGATCCACTTCCGGAAAATATAATCTAACCCAAACCTAATTTCGATTTTAAATAAAAAGTAGCTTTGAGTTAGATTAACTTAATATTTTTGAGGAATGGAGGAAGAGAAGCGAAGGCCACACGGTTCACTTACTACACATGAATGAATGAATCGGATAGAAGTTTAATTTATGAAACGTATATGTCCGAAAATTACGTGAAATTCGTAAAACTTTTTTTATTTATAACTTATTAATAAATAACGAGCGAAAACATTTTGGGGATCACTCAAAATAGTGGCTTTGACAATATATGTCAAGATCAAAGTCATTGCTAGTAGGTAAGTTAAAGTAAATATTTACCCATTGCTTTCATTGCTGCTGCCATTCCTTCTTGCTCCATCATTCCTCCCGTTCCTTCTCCACAGGCATGTGCCGATCGTCGTACTAATTTCGCATGTAATCCTGTCATTGGTTTGTCCAGTGCCTTTAAATAAATATTATTTGATAATAAATATAAATCCAACAAAAATATGAAAGAAATTATTACATTGTTTTTCTGCTTGAAATTTTGTCGAATAGAAGAAAATTTTATTGAAATAAAGCATAACATTATACATACTTATATATAAGTCATTTAGACTTGCATCTTACTTACTCGTACATTTCGAAAGTTTTCTAGCGGCGACTCGGCGAACTAGCAATTAGCGAAAAGAGCAATTAAATTTTTTTATTTTACATAGATATATATTCGTCTTACAATTAAAATTTAATTGATATTAAAATATAAACAATATTAATTATTCTCTAATCCGAAAATACTAATAAATCTGAATAATCGGTACTATTTAACGTGTGATGGAATTGCATGCGTCAAGCGATACAAATGTTTCAAAAAATTATTTAAAATAAATAAAAATATTTTTAGAAATATATTATTTACATTTATTTTTTCAATAAAATAAGCCATAAAAATTTATTCTTATATATGTACTTTTTCCTTCATATTATTATTATTATTATATTTAAAAAATTCTAACTTTTTATATTTAATTTATAATATTTAAATCGACATAAAATATTAACACAATTGGCATAATTCAAACGTTACTTTGTCTTGAGATTGCAAATAAATTATTTTTGCGAAATTTCTTACCACCAGCGTCACGCAAAGTAAAGTAATGAAGAATAGTTTAATCATTGTGCTTAACTTGATGCACCATGCACAATAGTCAGCAGAAATTTTTCTTCTTCGCTTTTATATATGTCATAATCTGCGACGTGTTTATGTATACAAATGTGGAAAAATACAACAAGACCATTGTCGATAGGAAGTAACGCGATTTCGATCGTAATCGCACTTTTTGCGTAATTTGCGACAAAATTTGACGCATCAAGTTCGTCAAATAAGCAGCAGTAATGCAATTACAATGTCTCGTCTTTGCGACGATCTGCACGCTATTTTTTGAAATCGGTAGATCTTATCTTATCTCGAAATTCGACGCGCATTCGTTGTTTTTCTATCGGAAATATATTTACGATATTACCCTTTTGAAATATTCGCTTATTATTATGCTACGTTTGACTAATTCTAATAAATATCTAGATATGATCATGGAGATTTTAAAGCAATTTTTTTTAATTATTTTGACGACCGTGTCAGTCGTAGATTATTATTTTTATTTCTTATTTTTCCGACTTTGATGATATCTAGTGTTTTAATTGTCATTATGAAGGTCTATTATAAGCATAATGTGTGCATCAATTATGAAGATTCTCGGATAATGTAATTAATTTTAGAAATGAACTTCGCACCGATGTATCTTCGCCGAAACGTACCTGTCACTTACGTTTCGCGGCACGTGACTTCCTCGTCTCTTACTGTCACCTAATGTCTCGATTATCTCTCGAGAAACCTGACGGTTGGTATAATCCAACGAATGAGAATCAAGCGATGTACATGAAACTTACTACGCGAAAATTTTCTCTTTAACCAAAAAATATGAGTCAATAAACAACTTTAGATCTACATTTTCGACAATTTAATGAAGTCATAAGTGTTGAAATGTGGGTGTTTGATAATTATGTTTCGTAATTGTTCTTTACCTGCTTCGCGCGCGTTTTGTGTCGCGATATAAGTGAATGTGTAAAAAAAGAATGAATGAAAAGGATTCAACGACATGACTAAAGGCGATAGAACAGATTCAACGATTAAAGGCGATGGAACAGAATAACAATGAGAAAACATCGTTCATGTGAGTACATTTTTTTCATCTTTTATTCGTTTACATTGCGTTTATTATTGTTAATATGTGCGTTGCGTGTAAAATTATGTATAAGATCATTAAAGTCAGTAACGCAACAAATATTCTCTCTCTGAATAAATAGGTTCTTAATCTTCTGAGATTTTTTTAAGAAACGTCTTTTTAAGAAAATTTAGAAGCATGATAAAATCATACGAAGAATTGCGCAGTTTTTCTTCTTCAACAATTTATTTCAAATGTACATAAATATATACTGTTCCTTTTTTTGAACTACTTATTCAACAGTAAAATATATAATATGAGATATAATCCGGATTATATTTATTAAAATACGTTAGAAACACATTAAATATACATTACATACACTCTGTATTTATTTTAGTATATTAAAAAAATTATTTTTATTAGTAAAAAATGAAGATATTTAATAACGAAAAATACGTTATACAAATATTCGTCAAAATTAAAAAGCTTTTATGATTTATTTCGATTTTGTTAAGAATATGTAGGGGATCGAATGAAATAAAAACAATAAATAAGAATAAATATTTTGCAGAGTGCTAAGTTTTATTTTAAAATCATCGGGGTTCTTGAGTGTCCAAAGCAATCTAATAAAGACGTGTCAAAGTGCAGAGTGAAATCTAAATCATTTTTATCTATTTTATAATGATAGGCTTCAATATCCACATCCAGAGACCTACGAAATATATACAAAATTAATAATAAATTAAATTAATATAAATCTGTTGTAATTCATTTTTAATAAACATATTTTTTGTAATTCATTTTTAATAAACATATTTTTTTTTATGTTAAACTTGTTTATATATCGATAATCACATATATTTATATACTCTGTATTCTATGTATACATATACACATGTAACGCATGTGTAAATATATGTATAATATGTACACATTGTGATTATACTTGATTTATACTATATATATTGTGATGTGTATATGTATATATTTCGTCTCATGACTTATACAGCGTGTGTCAAAAGTTCCGGGACGGCTGGATAATTTGAAAAATACGCATCACAGAGGAAAATGACCAAGACAAAAGTTGTAGGATTTTTCCCGGGCAATCCGACGGTGACCTTAGATTTGACCTTGGATAGTCATTTGAAAGTCACATAAAGATTACCTTCAATTTCTTAAATAGAACCCCCTATTTTTCATTGCATATTCTTGTAGCTTATCTCGAGAGCTTTCCAAAACACTATAATTAAGTACCTTTTTATTAAGTACTTTTTGAGTTATAAGGCTTGAAATAATTTCTTAATTTTACATAAACCATAAAATATCTAGTAAACCATTCATTTTTCGATTATCTTACCTTCATACTTTTATGTACAAAATAATGAGAGGAATCAATTGGTGTAAAGAAAACATATAGTTGTTTCTAAGAAAAAATATGTAATTTGCAATTAACAATTCCATATTTTTTCTTAAAAACAACTATGTGTTTTCTTTACACCAATTGATTCCTCTCATTATTTTGTACATAAAAGTATTAAGATAAGATAATCGAAAAATGAATATTTTACTAGATATTTTATGGTTTATGTAAAATTAAGAAATTATTTCAAGCCTTATAACTCAAAAAGTACTTAATAAAAAGGTACTTAATTATAGTGTTTTGGAAAGCTCTCGAGATAAGCTACAAGAATATGCAATGAAAAATAGGGAGTTCCATTTAAGAAATTGAAGGTAATCTTTATGTGACCTTCAAATGACTATCCAAGGTCAAATCTAAGGTCACCGTCGGATTGCCCGGGAAAAATCCTACAACTTTTGTCTAGGTCATTTTCCTCTGTGATGCGTATTTTTCAAATTATCCAGCCGTCCCGGAACTTTTGACACACGCTGTATATAAATTACTAAATGTAACGTAATGTAAACTGTCAAATATTTCATACGATATTACAGTTACTCTTGAAGTAAAAATGTAATAAGAAGCTACATATCAACTATATAATTTTATTGTTATTAATTATTTTGTTGATAATAATTAATTATTAAATAATTATTGAAATAAAAGCGCATAATTTTCTTAAATAGAAAGTATATACATATAACAAATAAACTGTTAAGAGCGACTTATAAAATTCACTTTATAATCAAACTTTATAATTCACTAATGAATCACATTACAATTTAAGAAATGTTTACCTAAAGAGCATAAAATTCATTGTACGATGATCCTTATGATTCTCATGATCATTATTTGCCGCCTCCTTGTGCTCCTGCTCCCATACTTCCACCTACATTAAATTTTGAGTGAACATTTATTTTAACTTACTCAACGATTTTAATCTTGATTATGTTGTCACTACTCTGAAAGATTCTTAAAAAGTTTTAATCTATTCGTTATTTATTAAAAAGTTATAAACAAAAAAATTTTACGAATTTTATGTAATTTTCGTATATGTACATTTCACAAAATGAATCTCTACCTAATTCATTCGTTTATGTGTAGTACATAAAACGCGTGAGTAGAAAACTGGCTCTGTTCTTTTCTCTCCACCCCTTTGAAAAAAAGTTTTCGTTTTGTACAATTTGAAAGTACGATGTAAAATATTTGAACTATATAAAGTAATCGAAACCAAAAATTTTAGTTGTAAATCAGAAATAGTAAGATTATATCTTAAGTTATAAGGTTTAAGTTAGGTCATATCTTCTGAAACGGAGCCGCTCATAAGGGGAGTCGGAATTCATTTTCTACGCATGTTCTTTGCAAAAAGCGAAATTTATTCTATAATCTTGATTCTTGCTGAGAATGAACTTTGCTTCGTTTTAGAAAATACATGCGTGGACACAGTAGATTCTCTTTTCCCTATGGGAAAATCAACTTCCGTAAGATATAATCTAACCCAGACTTAATTTTGATTTTAAATAAAACGTAACTTTGAGTTAGATTAGTCTTTTTCAGGATAGGGATGGAGAGAAAGGGATGAAGCCACTTCATATTACTACACATGAATGAATGAATCAGGTAGAAATTTATTTTATAAATGTATATGATCAAAAATTACGTGAAATTCATGAAACTTTTTTTGTTTATAATTTTTTAATAAACATCGAGCGAGAACTTTTTGGAGATCACTCAGGATAGTGGCTTTGATAACATATGTAAAGATCAAAGTCATTGCTGGTGAATAAGTTAAATTATTTATCAAAATCCCCTCCTATTTGCTCTCCTACTTTCCATCCTCCTCCCCACCCTGCTTTCCCTTCTGCTCTCCCTCCTTATCCTTCATAAATTCTGGATAAATATTTATTTTAACTTACCTAATGGCTTTGATCTTGACATATATTGTTTACAATTTTTTAATAAACAACGAGCGAGAACTTTTTGGAAGTCACTCAGAATAGTGGCTTTGATAACATATGTAAAGATCAAAATCATTGCTGTGGTTAGTTAAAGTAAATATTTACCAATTTCCCCTCCTATTTGCTCTCCTGTTCCCCATCCTGCTCCCCATCCTGCTCCCCCTCCTGTTCCCAATCCTGTTCCTCTTTCTGTTCCCCATCTTGCTGTCCATCCTACTGCCCATTCTGCTCCCTTTTCTGCTTCCTCTCCTAATCTCCCCATAATTTCTGAATAAATATTTATTTTAATTTATGTAATGACTTTGATCTTGACATACATTGTCATTATCCTGAGTCCCCAAAAACTTTTAATCATTTTTTTTTAAGTTATAATCAAAGTGTTTCACGTAATTTTCAAATATTTTGTACATATAAAAAATTGATTCTGTACTTGTTTCATTTGTTTATGTATAATAAGTGAAACGCGTGAGTAGAAGAAGAGTTCTTTTTTTCTCTTCGAAAAAAAGTTTCCGTTTTGTACAATTTGAAAGCATGGTGCAAAAAATTTTAATTATATAAAGTAACTCAAACCAGAAATAGGGTTAAATTATATTTTACGAAAATGGAACCCTCTATAAGGAGGGTTGAACCTAATGTATTCACGCATGTTTTTTAAAAAACGAAGCTAAGTTCACTCTACATTTAATCTTGATTCTCGCTGAAAGTGAACTTTGCTTCGTTTTGAAAAATACATGCGTGGACACAGTAGATTCTCTATTCCCTACGAAGGAGATAAACTTTCAGAAGATATAATCTAACCCAAACTTAATTTTGATTTTAAATAAAAAGTAGTTTTGGGTTAGATTAATCTTTTTCAGGATTGGGATGGATAGAAAGGGATGAAGCCACTTGACATGAATGAATGAATCAGGTAGAAATTTATTTTATAAACGTATATGATCAAAAATTACGTGAAATTCATGAAACTTTTTTTGTTTATAATTTTTTAATAAACAACGAGCGAGAACTTTTTAGAGATCACTCAGGATAGTGGCTTTGATAACATATGTAAAGATCAAAGTCATTGCTGGTGGGTAAGTTAAAGTAAATATTTACCAAATCCCCCTCTTATTTGCCCTCCTGCTTCCCCCATAATTTCTGGATAAATATTTATTTTAACTTATCTATAGCTTTGATCTTGACATATTGTCAAAGTCATTACCCTGAGTTACCTCCGGAAAACTTAATCGTTGTTTTTTTATTAAATAGGAAGATTTCAAGAATTTTAAGTAATTTTCGGACATTATGTACATTTCATAAAATAAATCTTTTTTTATAATTTTTTGATAAGCGAGTGAAAAATTTTTGGGTGTGGTGGCTTTGATAACATATAGCAAGATTAAAATCATTGCTGGTAGGTTAAAGTAAATATTTATCAAAACCTGCTCCGCCGTTCATGCCAAATCCTGGAAAAATATTTATTTTAACTTATATTAATATTTATTTTAACTTATTGAACAACTTTGATCCTGACATTGTGTCTTTGATATTATCATTACCCTGAGTGATCCCCAAAAACTTTTAACCGTTCTTTTTTTTTAAGTTATAATCAAAGTGTTTCACGTAATTTTCAAATATTTTGTACATTTCACAAAATGAATCTGTACCTGATTTATTCGTTTATGTGTAGTAAGTAAAACGTGTGAGTAGAAAAAGGGTTCCGTCTCTTTCTTTCCCTTCGAAAAAAAGTTTTCGCTTTGTACAATTTGAAAGCACGGTGCAAAAAATTTTAATTATATAAATTAACTCAAACCAGAAATAGGTTGAAGTTATATTTTACGGAAATGAAACCCTCTGAGGAGGACTTGAATCTATTGTGTACGCATGTTTGTTATAAGGCGAAGATAAGTTCAATCTACATTTAATCTTGACTCTCGCTGAAAGTGAACTCTGCTTCGTTTTGAAAAATACATGCGTGGACACAGTAGATTCTCTTTTCCGTACGGGGGGAGACAACTTTCGGAAGATATAATCTAACCCAAATCTAATTTCGATTTTAAATAAAAAGTAAATAAAAGCTTTGCATTAGATTAGTTTTTGAGGAATGGGGGATGCGTAGGGAGAGGAGCGAAGCCCACATGGTTCACTTACTACACATAAATGAATTAATCGGGTAGAAATTTATTTTATGAAACGTATATGTCCGAAAATTACGTGAAATGCGTAAAACTTTTTTTATTTATAACTTTTTAATAAATAACGCGCGAAAATTGTTTGAGGGTCACTCAGAATAGTGTTGACAACATATGTCAAGTCATTGATAATAGATAAGTTAAAGTAAATACTTACCCATTCCACCTCCTCCTTTCCCTCCTGCTCCCGCTCCTGCTGCTCCTCCTGCTTCCCCTCCTGCTCCTGCCATAAAATCTGGATAAATATTTATTTTAATTTACCTAATGGCTTTGATCTTGACATATATTATTAAGATCACTACCCTGAGTAACCCACGAAAATTTAATCGTTGTTTATTACAAAGTTATAATAAACAGAAAGCTTTCATGAATTTCACGTAATTTTCATTATGTACATTTCACAAAATGAAACTCTACCTGATTCATTCATTTATGTATAATAAGTAAAACGCGTCAGTAGGGAAGAGGTCCATTCCTTGATCTTCACCCTTTCGAAAAAAAGTTCCGTTGTTTTGTACAATTTGAAAGCACGATGCAAAAATTTGAATTACATAAAGTAACTCAAAACAAATTTTAATTATATATCGGAAATACATTTAGGTTACATCTTCCGGAAGTGGAGTCCGCCTGTAAAAGAATTCGGAACCCAAAATGTATCTACGTATGTTCTTCGCAAAACGAAGCAAAGTTTATTCTCATATATAATCTTGATTCATGCTGCGAATGAACTTTGCTTCGTTTTGCAAAATACGAGTACATGCGTACACAATAGGTTCCTTTCTACAGGGTCATCTTTCGGAAAATATAATCTAATTCAAATCTAATTTCGATTTTAAATAAAAAATAGCTTTGTGTTAGATTAGTCTTTTTCAGGTTGAGGATGCAGAGAGAGAGGGACAGAGCCCACGTATTTCATTTACTACATATGAATGAATAAATCAGAGAATCCATAGAAATTCATTTTATGAACATATATGATCAAAAATTACGTGAAATTCATAAAACTTTTATGTCTATAATTTTTTAATAAACAACGAGCGAAAACTTTTTGGAGGTCACACAAGGTAGTGGCTTTGACATATAGCAAGATTAAAATCATTGCTGGTAGGTTAAAGTAAATATTTATCAAAACCTGCTCCGGCGTTCATGCCAAATCCTGGAAAAATATTTATTTTAACTTATATTAATATTTATTTTAACTTCTCTAACGACTTTGATCTTGACATTTATTGTCATTACCCTGAGTGATCCCCAAAAACCGTTCTTTTTTTTAAGTTATAATCAAAGTGTTTCACGTAATTTTCGAATATTCTGTACATTTCACAAAATGAATCTGTACCTGATTTATTCGTTTATGTGTACTAAGTAAAACGTGTGAGAAAAAGGATTCCGTCCTTTTTTTTCCTTTCGAAAAAAAAGTTTTCGTTTTGTACAATTTGAAAGCACGGTGCAAAAAATTTTAATTATATAAAGTAACTCAAACCAAAAATAGGATTAAGTTATATTTTACGGAAGTGACACCCTCTGTGAGGAGGGCTTAAACCTATTGTGTTCACGCATGTTATGAGGCAAAGCTAAGTTCACTCTACACTTAATCTTGACTCTCGCTGAAAGTGAACTTTGCTTTGTTTTGAAAAATACATGCACAGTAGGTTCTCTTTTCCCTACGGGGAAAATCAACTTCTGGAAGATATAATCCAAACCTAATTGCGATTTTAAATAAAAAGTAGTTTTAGGTTTAGGTTATATTAGTTTTTGAGGAATTGTATACGGAGAGAAGCGAAACCCACACGGTTCACTTACTACACATGAATGAATGAATCAGGTAGAAATTCATTTTATGAACGTATATAATCAAAAATTACGTGAAATTCATGAAACCTTTTTGTTTATAATTTTTTAATAAACGACAAGCAAAAGTTTTTTGGCAGTCACTCAAGGTAGTGGCTTTGACAGCATGTGTCAAGATTAAAGTCATGGCTGGTTAAAATAAATATTTACCAAATCCTCCTCCGGCGTTCGCACCAAATCCTGAAGAAATATTTATTTTAACTTATCTAATGACTTTGATCTTGACATATATTGTCATTACCCTGAGTGATCCCCAAAAACTTTCAACCATTCCTTTTTTTAAGTTATAATCAAAGTTTTTCACGTAATTTTCGAATATTTTGTACATTTCACAAAATGAATCTGTACCTGATTCATTCGTTCACGTGTTGCAAGTAAAACGCGTAAGTAAAGAAAGGGTTCCGTCCCTTTCTTTCCCTTCAAAAAAAAGTTTCCGTTTTGTACAATTTGAAAGCACGGTGCAAAAAATTTTAATTATATAAAATAACTCAAACTATAGGCTTAAGTTATATTTTACGAAAGTGAAATCCTTTGTGAGGAGAGCTTGAACCTATTGTATTCACCCATGTTTGTTACAAGCGAAGTTAAGTTCACTCTACACTTAATCTTGACTCTCGCTGAAAGTGAACTTTGCTTTGTTTTGAAAAATACATGCACAGTAGGTTCTCTTTTCCCTACGGGGAAAATCAACTTCTGGAAGATATAATCCAAACTTAATTGCAATTTTAAATAAAAAGTAGTTTTAAGTTATATTATATTAGTTTTTGGGGAATTGTATATGGAGAGAAGCGAAGCCCACACGGTTCACTTACTACACATGAATAAATGAATCAGGTAGAAATTAATTTTATGAACGTATATGATCAAAAATTACGTGAAATTCATGAAATCTTTTTGTTTATAATTTTTTAATAAACGACAAGCAAAATTTTTTTGGCAGTCACTCAAGGCAGTGGCTTTGACAGCATGTGTCAAGATTAAAGTCATGGCTGGTTAAAATAAATATTTACCAAATCCTCCTCCGGCGTTCGCACCAAATCCTGAAGAAATATTTATTTTAACTTATCTAACGACTTTGATCTTGACATATATTGTCATTACCCTGAGTGATCCCCAAAAACTTTCAACCGTTCCTTTTTTTAAGTTATAATCATAGTTTTTCACGTAATTTTCGGATATTTTGTACATTTCACAAAATGAATCTGTACTTAATTCATTCGTTTATGTGTAGTAAATGAAACGTGTGTAGAAAAAGGGTTTTGTCCCTTTTTTCCCTTCGAAAAAAAGTTTATTTTGTACAATTTGAAAGCACGGTGCAAAAAATTTTAATTATATAGAGTAACTCAGAAATAGGTTTAAGTTATATTTTACAGAAATGAAATCCTCTGTGAGGAGGGCTTAAACCTATTGTGTTCACGCATGTTTGTTACAAGGCGAAGCTAAGTTCACTCTACATTTAATCTTGACTTTCGTTGAAAGTAAACTTTGCTTCATTTTGAAAAATACGTGCGTGGACATAGTAGGTTCTCTTTCCCTTATGGCAGAGGTCACTTGCGGAAAATATAATCTAAACCCAAACCTAATTTCGATTTTAAATAAAAAGTAACTTTGGGTTAGATTAGTTCTTGAGGAATGGGGGGTGCATAGGGAGAGGAGCGAAGCCCACACGGTTCACTTACTACACATGAATGAATGAATCGGGTAGAAATTTATTTTATGAAACATATATGTCCGAAAATTACGTGAAATTCGTAAAACTTTTTTTATTTAGAACGTTTTAATAAATAACGAGCGAAAACTTTTTGAGAATCATTCAGAATAGTGGCTTTGACAACATATGTCAAGATCAAAGTCATTGCTAGTAGGTAAGTTAAAGTAAATATTTACCCATTCCTGCTCCCATTCCTCCTTCCCCTCCTGCTCCTCCCCCTTTTGCCGATCGTCGTACTAATTTCGCATGTAATCCTGTCATTGGTTTGTCCAGTGCCTTTAAATAAATATTATTTGATAATAAATATAAATCCAACAAAAATATGAAAGAAATTATTACATTGTTTTTATGCTTCAAATTTTGTCGAATAAAAGAAAATTTTATTGAAATAAAGCATAACATTATACATACTTATATATAAGTCATTTAGACTTGCATCTTACTTACTCGTACATTTCGAAAGTTTTCTAGCGGCGACTCGGCGAACTAGCAATTAGCGAAAAGAGCAATTAAATTTTTTTATTTTAAATAGATAAATATTCGTCTTACAATTAAAATGGAATTGATATTAAAATATAAACAATATTAATTATTCTCTAATCCTAAAATATTATTATATTATAATTATATATTACTATTATATTACTATTATATTATAATAACTCTGAATAATCGATAGTATTTAACGTGTAATGGAATTGCATGCATCAAG